TCTATCACAACAGCACCCCGTTCAGCAAGCTGTTTGGGGAAAAAATAACGTCCGATCGGCGGCGAAATCCGAAGCAGTCGGACGGAGGCATGAGATCGAGATCGGTTCTGGAAGGGCGCCCTAGTGTTTTCTAGTTTGTTGGATGTTGTTGTGCATCTTGGGGGGAGCTGCCCTCGAACGCTCTTCCTTTTGTCCGGCGGAAGGTGTCGCGTTTTTGCAGAGAGAACTCCACAAAGGCCGGCGACCCGGCGGCGACCCAGCGACTCGGCGACCCGGCGACCCGGCGACCCGGCGACCCGGCGACCCGGCGACCCGGCGACCCGGCGACCCGGCGACCCGGCGTCCCGGCGACCCGGCGACCCGGCCTCCCGGCGACCCATGCAGCGACCCGGCGACCCGGCGACCCGGCGACCCGGCGACCCGGCGACCCGGCGACCCGGCGACCCGGCGTCCCAGCGTCCCGGCGACCCCGCATCCCGGCGACCCGGCGACCCGGCGACCCGGCGACCCGGCATCCCGGCGACCCGGCGACCGGGCGACCCGGCGCCCCGGCGACCCGGCGACCCGGCGACGCGGCGACGCGGCCACACAGCAACCCGGCGACCCGGCGACCCGGCGACCCGGCAACCTGGCATCCCGGCGACCCGGCGACCTCGCGACCCGGCGACCCGGCGATCCGGCGATCCGTCGATCCGGCGACCCGGCGACCCGGCGACCCGGCGACCCGGCGACCCAGCCGACCCGGCCTCCCCGCGGCGACCCGGGCCCCGGCGTCCCGGCGACCCGGCGACCCGGCGATCCCGCGATCCGGCGATCCGGCGACCCGGCGACCCGGCGACCCGGCGACCCGGCGACCCGGCGACCCGGCGACGCGGCGTCCCGGCGCCCTGGCGACCCGGCGACCCGGCGACCCGGCGACGCGGCGACCCGGCGACCCGGCGACCCGGCGACCTGGCGACCCGGCATCCTAGCGTTCCGACGTGCGCGCCCTGTACAGCGGTCCAAATGAAAACCCCCCGCATTATCCTCTGAAGCTCCTCTGGTCTTCTTTCCAGAAACACATGTGGAAAACTATGTTTCGGGTAAACTGAATATACTTTGTTTTCCCCCTTCATACAATTCTGCAACACGTTGCATCTACGAATCGCTTCGTCTGAGTTGCGGAGTTCATTGAGGCCCACAGGAGTTTCGCAAAGGGACATCCTAGCTCGACCGAGTTCGACGGTGTGTTCGCGCAGAGACATCCTCATTCATTAGGATGGAGTGCCATGATGTGTCGGATTCATGTGCATCGTAGGCACTCAGCTGTTCTGGAGACTCACAGGGAGGCTGTCTAAGATCATTTGCGCAAAACCCCCAACCAATTTCCCACTCATATGGTTTGATCATGCCCCTCAACAGAAAACATAACACAACAAAACATCTCAGGACGTGATACAATGTATTGCCCTATACAAGCGTGCGCGACTGCGTTGTTAGGCCAGCCTGCATCACTGAATAACATTGCCGATGCGCACATGCGGGCCCAGGGAGTCAATACACATATGCATATGAATGCAGCGCGCCCCGCGCCGTGTGTGATTATGGCATACCTGCAAACAGTGATGATACCAGCAACTTCTTTACTTACTAGTCGGACATGCAAGTACTGTTTGGGAATGCCCCTCAACCAACGTCTTGGGATATTGCGTAAGAGGGACGCGTCGGCATGCGCTTAGCTTGATGTCTGAACACTACCCACCCCCTTCCGTCTGATTATTCCACTGCCCCCTGATCCTTGTCTCCCGCCTCCTCCGAAGCCATTTTGGCTGAAGGGTTCTTGCTGGCACCTGACTGGGGCCAGTCGAAAGGTCGTCTTCAGATGCCGTTTGCAACTGTGTGACCATACATGGCAGGGGCTGAGGCCCCTGGAGATGACAGGCAGCTTGAATTGATTCTTGCTCCGATTACGGTGTTCGCAGGTGCCACCTCGAGCGACGCACCAGCAGACAGCGGCGCAGGTCGAGGAGGCCGCGCCGCCAGTGGACACGGAGGCCCAGGCAGGGGGCGGGCAATACTGCGAAGGCCTGCGGCTGCGAATGCTGACGCTGCTGATCACCAAATTGTTGCCGTGGCCCGACATGCGAAACGGAGGAAGAACCCCGATCTTCAGCAATCATGTGATTTTTCCACAGTGTCTGCTCATGACATCCAGTGTTTTGACAAGAAAGAGATGGTGCCTCACCCATTGTGCGCCCGCCTTGCCAACATCATCGTTCATATCGGAAGTCATGATACGTCAACTCATGCTGGGTGGGCCGAGGATTGCGACGAGGATTTACGAATAGTCTGTGAGCACGTTCTTGAAAAAGGCAAGGCGATGAACTCGTATGAGGCTACGGCGCAAGCAATCTCAGTTTCTAGATTTCGGTTGCCTCGCATATGTAGTCGAATCGCAGCTGCTGGCATTGTACTTTCTAGAAGTCGCCGACATTCGATCGAGATGGCTGTCACTGCAATTCGAGCCGCCAAACACTTGCTGTACGTGGACTCAGCCAGGTATGATGAGGCAACATATTACCTAATTCAGCGTAGCAACGATAACTTCTTGCCCAATGCAGTACGGTTGCTGACTGATGCGTTGGCGGTGGCTGCGACGGATGCAGAGACGGAGGCAATATCCACAATACTTTCTACGATCACCGCTGACGCGAAGAAAAAGGCTGGGAAGCAGAAAGAACGAACAGCTATAACCACCAAGATCTTGCAGATTGAAATGAAGCACGGCATGTTTGTGAAGCTCCCTTGCGTACAAAGCCCCGACGGCTGGCAACGCGCCATGATGACTGGCCAGGCAGTTTCAGAACTTCACGTGCTCGAGCGAGCTGACACCCACTGCATGGTGCAGGCACTTACGAAAGCATCTTCTGTATCAGCGGCAGCTTTGCGATTCGCATCTTGCATGCGGCTGCTGACCGCAGATCGCCTCAGAACAAACGATGCCGCAGAGAGAGTCTTCATGCAGGCCGAGGTGCGAGAGGGGTGGGGTCATCTGCGGTTGCCTTGCTTGGTTCACAAGATCGTTGAGGCGAACAACAAGATGACGTTCGTTGCTGGACAAGGGAGCGACTACAGCGTTAGTTCGATTGGTGTTAGCAATTAAGCCATGGAAGCCAAAGTTTGCAAAGGCCCTCGCAGACGTTGCGAAGGAGAGCGCCGTGATCATGTTTGGCAGATGCGGCGATCCAGCTGCGGCTTTCTACAGGCGCGCTGCACTCACGGTGTGTGCAGGCACGGACACTACTCGCAGCAAGCAATTGTTGGCATACGCCCCATGGTTGCCGAATGGCAGGTGGTGGAATCGCAATCGCGTGGAAGTATATTTGCCAGACAATACCATCCCAGAAGAGCTCACGAAGTTGATGTGCAGCACAGCGATTGTTCGTGCTTTCTGTGGCCAATCCTGGAAGATATTCAACAGAGGCCGATGGTTGGATAATGATGAGGCTGTATCGTCGGTGATTGCGCTGGAACTGTGTCACGGTCTTCTGACCAAAGCCTTCTACCGCATGATCCGCGAGTACTTTCCCAGGGAGGCCCACTTGATCCGAGAAGATGTCGATCCGATCGTGCCCATGCCTGGTTTACTTGCGATTGAGGGCGACGCTGGGGCAGCACCAGACGACGCAGATGGCGACCTTGGCGCAGGATATGCTGGCGAAGAAGGCGCAGAGGGTGACGCACAGGGCCAGGCTCGCCAACAAGATGATGTTGAAGCTCAAGATTGGGCCAAACGCAACATGAAGTACAGATCTTACACACTCAGCGTGTTGGGAAGTCGGCCTTTGAAGTCATGGGTGGTTCTACGTATTGCAATGGAACCTGGGATGCGGATGCTGAGGCGCGCGATGGATGTGTCGTCGGAGGATTGGGAGTTGAAGCAGCAAGCAGTAGCAGCGAAGGCGAGGTTATCGAATCCACAAGCCGAAGTTCTGAGGGATTACCGTCTGCTTGCTCTATCTCGTGGGGACATGGAGCGCGAGTACTTCAGCCAGTTGCAATGCGTCTTCAACTCGCCAGTTCTTTGGCAGCTCATCCCTGACATAGACATGATCAGAGCGATGCTGGTTCGATGCTTCGTTATGCTATCACGACAAGGTGCAATCGTCGAGAAGATTATCCACTCACCTCATCGAGCACCGCCCTTCTTGACATTCAGATCGGTGGTGGAGCCGCAGCTTCGGGATGCCATTATGGACATGGACAGTCACCGATTGGACCCATGGACGCGATGGCTCGTGAAGGAGCACGACCTGAGGCATCCTGATACAAGGGCAATGTTGTTATTTCTTCTCCATATGGCCCACTACGACAACGTTGCGATTGAAAAGAACCAGTCTTGGATTCGGAGAGTGTTGTCGGCTAGGTCATGCGAAACCCACCCGATGTCCTTTCACGACGCGACTGCTCTCTGGGTTATGCATCATTTACGACGGGAACTGGAAGCACATGACAGAGCACGCCAATCCACTACCTACACTGGGCACGGTGGAGCGGCATCTGACCTTGACGACGCAGCGGAGGTTGGCCGACGTCAGATACAGCGTGGCGGCGGTGGAGCGTGGCGAGCTTTTTGTTGCGAGTGCACGAGGGCTGGGGAGTTCGACTTCGCCGCGATCGCGGCGAAGTACACGCCTGAGGTAAAGCGACGGCTGCGACAATCAGGAAAGGAGGCTACTCAAGCCCACAGGGAAGGGACGCCTCGATCGTTCGGTCCAACTGCCAAGGAGATCCGGAAGAGCCGCGCTAGCATTCGAGATGAGATTCGAGCCCTCGATCAACAACGTGATGCTGAGATGGTTCAAGATCGTGATGATGATCGCGACCATGGTCTCGGCATGAGTTCTTCTACTATTGGCTTGGCGGTGCAATCCATGGGGTCTCGCATGGGGGGCGTCTGCAGCTTGGAGCACGTGGGCCCGGAAACTACACGTTCGTCGAGGCGTCGGGACGAGGCGCAGGAGAGACAGAAGAACAAGGAGGAGCTGGTCAAATTCAGGGAGCGCATTGGCAATGCAGAGCGGAATGCCACCTGCACGGCGTCGCAGACATTGCAGCCGCACCGAGGAGATCTCACGCCAATGCCGAGCAGCACGACAGTCCCATGGTTTATGTACTTGGGCACCCCAGACAAGCAGGCGCTTGCCATTGTCGACAAGAGCTTCAACTCTACATATTCGAGGAAGGGTCTGGGTGCAATTCTGGATGCATATCACAATTGGATGTGTAAGCCTGCTGGTCCAATATCTCTTCCGATCGCATCGGAGAAGGAGCCCAACGGGAAGTGCGCGTGGGACCACTGCTTCTGCACGCCATCTGGGAAACGATTGTATAGCCGTCGCAATGCTTCCCTCCGTTTCTTGAAAGGGCAGACACCTCGTGATGCGTCTTGGCGCAACATGCTCTTGACAGGCATGCTGGTTGTCAGAATCAGGAGCTTGCCACTGCAGCCTTTCTTCCCGCCAGACAGCGACGAGTCCGATTACGACGTGGCCATGGAGAATGCGATAGCGATGGAGGAGGATGTATCTTTTTGGCATCTCAGTTACACTACGTTGTCACCGTACGACGTCATGCTGCAAGAGATGACCTGCGATGATATGCACACGCCTTTCTTGAATGACGTCACTGTGGAGGTGCATGGGACGAACAACCATCTCGAACTTTACGATTGGTGTTACACTCTGCGAGAAGATAGATCACATGACGCTATGCTGTACAAGCTCGTGAACAATCACGAGCCTATCTTGAAGGAGCATTTCGTACCTAAGAAGCAGATCATCGAACCGTTGCGACGTGGAGGAGACGATGACGGGGAGCTTCGATTCTGGAAGGGGTTTGGACCTCGACCTCGAAAAAGACGTGGGCGGGGTCGTGGAGGGCGCCACGGACGCGGACGAGGTAGGGATGCAGCTCGAGGCCGAGGTGGCCGAGGCCGTGGGCGAGGACATGCGGGAAGGGGTGCTGACGAGGACCTTGAGTAGAGCGGGGAAGGGGGTTGCTCGTTCGAAGCCCCCCCCCTCGGGAACGGGTCACGGTGGAGGAATGTTATTGGATGGGGGGGCAGGTTGTTTTTTTGGGAGGGCGGCGGTTTTGGGCGGGCCCGAGGTGCCCCCGAGCATTGGGTTTTAGGGCGCCGAGATCCCCAAACACCAATGCGTGGAAAAGGTTTGATGATCCCCACCAGTGCGATGGTTTAGCTCTTCGTTGAAATATGCTTCTGGGTTGTTCTCGATTGGGTTGGATGTATCTTGCAACGTGGGCCCAATCAAGTTCACGAGGGCCCGATGCGACTTCTACCGCGCCATGCGGGTGTGAGCTCCGCAGCTCATTGAAATCAAGTCCCACAGTTAGGCCCATCACAAGGTTACATATGCGTAGGTCCCACTGGCCCCCTAGGGTCCCATCGGGTTCCACAGAAGGGTCCATAGGCTACACCAGCGCCCCTTTCTAGTACCTGCTCATGTGTTCTCCCTTCTCTTTTCGAATTCTCCAAGAGGAGTCGAGCGACCATGGCGAGGGGCCGAGCCCCGACGCTGATGCTGGACACGGCGGCGATCCTGAACCTGCCGCCGATGATGGCGGAGAGGTATCAGAGGGACAGGGCAGCGAGCAGGCTGCCATGAGCGACGATGAGGTCAAGGCCGTGACGCTCGAAGAGGCGATCGACATTGCTTTGGGTGGTCACGACGAGGACGAGCCCCTTTGGGGCGACATTGCCTTCGACGACGTCGCCATGCACATCGGCATTCCTGAGGAACGACCTGACGATGCAGCTGGCGCCGACGTCGCTCCTCACGGAGAAGGAGATGGCTGCGATGACCTTCTTACTCCTGAGGAGATGCTTGAGGCTTTCGGTCATGGATTTGCAGCTGGCGCACCTCTGCCTGCTGAAACGCCTGATGTACCAGGCGCTGGCGCGGAGGCCCACGCTCCGCCGCCTGCCGATGACCCGCCACATTCCCCACCTCCTCCTCCACCTCCTCCTCCTCATCCTCCTCCTCCTCCAGACTGGGTGTCACCTTTAGTGCACGGTGGGTCTCGGATCTTTTGGTTTCGAGATAGTCGCATTTCTGCGCACTACAATGCACTGAGATGAAAACTTTTGTTGAAGTCAAGTGCCGTAATAAAGCGCACGGGCGCTGTGTGCTCACTAAGGTGTTCGATCCGAGCAATCAGCTAGGTCGTGAAGGCCAGGGCCGTTGCCTCGGCGTCGTTGGGGCATTCATTCTTTCTGCGACTGAGGCAGGCGTTGATTCCAAAGCTGCGCATGTGGCGATGTTGCCTGGTTTTTCTCGTGCAAGGCGCCTGCTAGGACGCAGCGCATTGCGCGACGACGGAGGCCTGGTTGGGCTGTTTGAATGCGAGCGGCCACGGCACACAGGTGAGGAGTCGGAGCCTGAGTTTGCGCCCCACTGAGACACGCAAAGCTGGTGCAAATCATGAGCATTCGAATTCTAGGTCTTCAGTTTTTCGTCCTAGTTTTCCTTTTCGTCATCCCCCCACTCCCCCTTGCGCTGGCAGTGCCCCTCGTCTGCTCCTCGCCCCTGCTTCGAGCTCCATTCCTCATCCAGTTCTGATGTTGCCATGGGCAATAGTGCGAGGCCCCAGGTGTCACAGCGTGGTTCGACGTTGGACCCGCTAGGCCAATGATACTACGATAGCACAGTGGATGTCGTTAATCACTGAAGAGCCTCAGGAGGCCCCAGGAGGGCTCCAGGAGGCCCCCACCCCAATTTTGACATTATCGAAAGGCCCATGGGGCCCAATCGGCCGCGAGGCAGGGCAAGGCCAGCCACGTCTCAGAAACCACCTCTGGGATCTCCAGGCGCTCTGCGCCAGACTCTGAAACCACCTCTTGAGGCATCGGCCGCTTTCGATTCACTTTCTGTGGGTTCCTGAATTTCGCTCTGGTGGTCAACCAGAGCAACCGCAGATGGCCACGATTCGTTCTTGAACCTCCTCTTGTGCGTGAATCACCTAAACGGACATGTTTCAAAAGTCCTCTCGTTCATTGTCTCGAACCTGAACCACCTCGCGGTACAATGTTCAAAAGTCCTCTCGTAGTCGTTAAATACAAGTGAATCAGCGCTCGGGAAGTTTTTGTCTCGCCTCTTGAATCACCTCTCGGTCAAGGCCCCTGGTTCCGAGTCCGCCCTTGAACCTCCTCAGGTTCTGAAACCAATGTTTTCCAAACTCCCGAGGGACCTACAGGAAACCAAGACACCGCGGCTGAGAGAGAGCTGGAGAGGTTCAAAGTCCTCTCGGAGACCTTCGGGGAGGCAGCGCGCGAGACGCCCAATGTCTCGGAGGCGTCCAACGCGCCGCGCCGACCCCGCGGTCGGTCTCAGAGCGCGGGCCCCCGTCCGCCAAGCGTCTGGCCGCGTGCTCTAAGTACCCCCCCCCCCCCCCCCCCCCCCCCCACACCACACACACACACACACACGCACACACACGCACACACACACAAACACACACACACACACACACACACACACACACAACACACACACACACACACACACACGCACACACACACACACACACACACACACACACACACACACACACACACACACACACACACACACACACACACACACGCACACACGCACACACGCACACACACAACGCACGCACGCACGCACACACACACACACACACACACACCACACACACACACACACACACACACACACACACACACACACACACACACACACACACACACACACACACACACGTCTTTCAAGGGGCATCCGAGAAAACCGACCGCCAGGTGGAGGAGGAGGGAGGGTGTGGAAGCGAGGCTCGGCCGCGTGCCCCTAAGTACCCCCCCCCCCCCCCCCCTCCGTTCGTTCAGGGCGCAAGCGTTTTGAGATATCGGGAACTTGCATCGGGCGGGGGGAGAGGCCCACGCAGCTGCGGGCGAAGTAGTGGTTGGTAGGCCATGGGGTCTTGCAAACAGGAGCTGAAGAAATAACATAACGCCCAAACCAAGCCCTACGTAACCATAACATCCCCAGGGCCCAATCCACATTGGCCCAAGACGCCCTATTGTGATCCACATGCGTCCTTTCATGAGGTCTCTTTGGGGCCCCATGGGGTTCCACTCGCTAGTTGAAAAAAAAAGCCTCATGGCATCTTCAGGTCACTGGGGCCCCAGACGAGCAATCTCATTGAAGGGCCAAAGGTCAAATACTCAATTGGCTCCAGGAGGGCACGTGCCACCCTGGGTGACCCGATCCAACCATGCGCTGAAACGTTGGATCCTCGTATTCCTGTGCGACTGATCTGGCGCAGATTTGATTGGCCCAAGTAGTGCATCACCAGGGTGTTGGGGAACACCTTGTGGATATCCAAGTTTCTCGGCCGACCATGAAGGGCACTCCTCCTAGTCACAGTCGGCGCATCGGGGAGACCTTCAACTGCGAGTGGAGGACGGTCCGATCTTCTGGTAGGCGAGCCATGCGATCGTGCACAACTGTCATCGTGATCGACGACAGCGACGACGGCTATATCGCATCCGACAAGTCCGCCTGCCCCAAGGAGAACGTCGACCCGTGGGATATCCCAGATCCAGAGAAAGTCGTGACGCCGCCCAAGCCGAAGCCTCCTGGCTGGATTCCAAATCAGGGCCGCTGTTGTCATGCAGATGATCCATCGGCAGAGTGAGCCGAAGGACCATGTGCGTGCCACCATCGGCCCTCTCGGCAACGTTACATAAACCGACAGTGCGGAGTGTGGCTTCCCAAATTGAAGGGACGCAACTCCGCCAAGTAGATAGGTGCTGCAGCCTGACTGTTTGGTGTCGCGCTCTTGTGCGATGTACTCGCTGTTCGGGGGGCGAAAATGCTTTCGAGGGCGTGCCGTTTCACATCTGGGGGATGGGGGTGGGGCTGGTAGAGCCACTGGAAACCTTCATAGAATCTAAGCGCGTGTAGTCTACCTCACTGCATCCCTCCTCTCTGTTGGGGTCCCCAAGCGTTCGTCTTTCGGACAATTCCAGTGTCTGCGAGGGAAGGGGGGCACGGGTAGCAGTCCGACGTGTCCTGGGGTGCCCAAGAAGCTGACAAGAAGTATACCCTGGGTTCCTTTTTGTTTTTTTGGGGGGGCACCGACCCACTGCGTGGTGACGCTTTGATTTGGATCCGTTCCTCAGCTGATGTTGGCTCTGAGGCTTGAAGGCTTTATGATCGAGATTTCTGCCTAGCAAGGAGCCAAGACCACCTAGCGTTTTCCAACGATGGGTGGCAGGAAGGGGCAGAAGGAGCCCAAGGCGGACCAGAAAGCGCAAATCGATCAGCCTCAGCAACGGCCTCTCGGTGATCGCCTCTGCTTTTGCGCCAAGTGCCGCAATTGCTCCAAGGACATTGTTTTTGTAAACATCCCCGACCCCCAAACCTATCCATCCCCATCCATGCCAATCGCTGAACCCCCGTGACAACCCTTAGCTCAGGGATGACCACGCATGTACATGTGCATACGCACGAATGCATACAGCACGCATCAAGCACTCTTGCAAGGTACGCGGCGAACAGTGGACATTCGCGCCGGCATAAATGTGACCTCAGGGCCTCCAGGACCCCTTGGATCTCAGGTTTTACTCAAGAGCTCTGGGAGGGGGCGAGGAGCTAGAAAAGAAGGGAACGACACAGTGAGAAGATAGGCCATGCTCAGACGCACGATGAGGCAATGAGAACTTTGAGAGGTGAGAGAGGCAGGGGGGAAGGAGGGTGGGTAGGAGAGGTGCGAGTTTATTTGTTAGATTCGATGCCAAATCTTACTTGAGCCAACGACAAGGGTCCGTACCGATGTGAACCCTAGGGGGGGGGGGGCAGTTTGCTGGGGAGAGTATGTCCGACTCCCCAAGGACCGCCCCTTCAAGATCCAGTCTCTCGACCCGCGTGGGTCGCAGAATGCGTGCGAGGAGTGCTACGCGCAGAAGGAGGTCCTCTTCCCATGGATGACCTGGCAGCAGTTCCTCGACTTGGGCAAGGACGTGCCTGACTTCCACCATGTGTGCGATAAGGCTATGGAGGTGGCAGCTGGCAAACGGAAGAGGGAGACGATGGAGCAGGACATCAGTAAGGTCGCCCACATCGGTTGCCGCATCGAGCAGGAGGCCGAGCTTGCGACCGAACAGGTGATCAAGAGGCGTTGCAGCGGGGTCACTCCGAAGTGCCTCGGGATGAACCCCGTGGAGCTCCTGGACAAGAACGGCATTGAGGTTGCGTCCGGTTACCCTGTGGCCGTCGAGGGGGCGCCGCAGAAGATCTACTTCTACACCGACATCGCCGTGAAGAGGGGTATTCCAGTGATGGGTTCGCGTGAAAACGTGAACGACGTGCAGATCGCGCCGAACGTCAAGCGGGCCTTCGACATCGATGACTTCGGAGGCGGCAACATGCGAATTCCGAGTGGTTTGAAGACGTGGGACCAGCTTGAAATACGCAGCAGGACCATCAGGCAGAAGCGCGACGAGCTGACTAATAAGAGGTCTGCTGAGAAAGGCAAGCCAACTAAAAAAGGTGATGGTGACGACGCGAGCTTCAATGACGACGGTTCTGACTATGAAGGCATTGAAGGGTCTCCTGGAGCTGCTGCTTCGACCGCGGCTCCGCCGAGCACCCCTGGCTCCCAGCGGGATTCTTCTCGATTTGGTGATCAGCCGAAGTCCGTATCGAAGGCGTCCGCATCGGGTTCGAAAGACCGATTGCCGTCACCAAGTCCTCCTGCCCGTTGGGATGAACCTGGTGCGATCAAGGCCAGCGAGAAGGATGGCACTTTGAAGAAGACGGCTGGAGGCTACTACGTCAAAACCCCGAAGTACTGGATAAAAGTCCTCGACTTGGCGCAGGGCGCAGGTGGCAACACCATGTCCAAGGAGGTCGACCAGGCCAAGCTTTGCCGCACAAGGGAGGGCAAAACCACGGATGCCGACAGGCTTGAGAAGCACATCGATTTGTTCAACGACAGCCTGAAGCTTTCACCATCGCAAGTCCATCTCATGTCCGACGACGCGCTGAGGATCCTGATCGAAAAGCTGGAGCAAGTCAGACCGCAACCAGCGTGGCTGCCCGAGACGAAGCAGGGTCTGACATTGAGGAAATTCCAGTCTTTGTCTGACCTGACGCTGCGGCTCTCCTCAAACAGCGATCCCACGTGGACCGAGCTCGTCTGCGCACTCGACCCGATCGGCAACAACAAGAAACACACCTTCGATATGCTCAACCCGTCGTACCACGCGATCGTGAAGCAAGTTGGGAAGACGGCTTACTACGACTTCGCAAAGGAGGAGTACTTCGGCAAGGTCATCCTCAAGCTCCTGTGCATGAACAGCGCTGAGGGGGACCGTAGGCTCAGGGAGATGGGCGTCGAAGCGAAGAAGGTGTTCAGTTTGCCAGAGGACTTGCAGCTGGAGGGCTGGGTGGTGGACTTCAGTATCCAGATGTCTCTTCTTCATGAGTGTGTGGACTTCCTCGTGGATCCGTACATTGTCGGTGCCGATGCCGAGGACCCGCGGAGCCTTCTTCAACAGATCCAGTCGTCAGCTGCTAACACTTAGGCCGACGACTTCTTCTCGATGATCGCGCCGTCGCTGGCCAATTGCCATCGCGCGCAGACCTTGCTTGCAGAATACGTCAAGCCGAACGCGAAGTACGACGAGTACTACCAGGAGGTGAAGGCCATGCTGAACAAGATGGAGCTCGCAGCGAAGAGTGGTGAGCGCGAGACGCCTCCAGTGTTGACGAACGTCTGCGCCAAGCTGTTGGGCTGGGAGCAGTGCATGCCCAAGGGCTCCTGCAGTCGGGTCAGGGACTTGCTCTGGACGCAGGTGATGAGCACCTATCAGGCCCAGGCTGGCCACAGCGAGGAGTCGAGCCCAGAAGAGTCCAGGGATATCACATCGGATCGCATGACTACGATCACTGAGCTGAAGGGGTTGCTTACAACTGCCAGGGAAGTGTTCGTTGATAGGGTCGAGCTGAGGGGCTACATCGAGAAGTTGAACCGCGTTATCGGCTCATTCGATCAGGAAAAGAGGGTAACATATATCAACGACATGTGCATCGATTACCAGACCACGAAGGACATCAAGACGTTGGTCAGGCTGGAGAACGTGCTGGGCCAGCTCCAGGAAGGGGAGGTCCTTCCCCAGGCAGCCCTCGTCTCCATCTCGAATGCGGTCAATCACGCTTCGCAGCACATGATCGAGGTGGCCAAGAGGGACAGCGAGCAGGCCCCAGGAGAGTCTTCAGACACGGATGGCAAGCACGTCGATGCGGTCTACCTCATTACGAGCGCTGTCGGACGGATGGTACCCTTCCTCAAGGCGAGCACGGAACATATCATGATCAAGCGTGGCAAGTACGCCGAGGGCATTGTGGCTACAGCAAAGAACTTCGTCAACATGACGGAGGTGACCAAGTGCGTGATGGCGATGGGCCCAGACGCGGATGCACGGTCCAAGTCAGAGCAGTGCATGCCTCGCTTGCTGGAGCTCGGTCGGGCCTTGACCTCCTTCGAGAGTGCGATCCAGACGTGGAAGGGGGACGGCGGAGACCCGAACTTCGGTCGCAGCGAGTGCGAGCGCTCCGTGCAGACCAAGCAGGAGGTCGCCACGGCGTTCATCAAGAACCTGAAGGAGAATAACCTCAATGCCATGCAGGACGCGGATAAGATCTACGGCATGAAGGGCTCGACGGTGCCGACTTGGCACGATGGCCTGAGTGCCGACGTGAAGTGGGCTGGGCTGATCGAGACGAAGCAGGCTAGCGACTTCCACGCGAATGTGTGCCTGGACGCACTGAAGGCCAAATGCGAGGAGGTTTGCCAGGTCTTGCGCCAGCACGACGACATGTTCGCGTCCGTGAAAATGCTTGTCGTCAAATGGGACGAGATGATGCAGCTACGAGCGGACCTGAGCGTGCTATACACGGAGCTCCTCATCCTGGACAAGGCTGGCAATTCGAATATCCAGAAGGCAGAGCTCCGCAGGCACGCCATGGCCGCCAAGGCGTTCTGTCAGGACATGGGCGGCGAACAGGCCGCGAAGGCGGTCTTCGCCCCCATCGCCATGAAGATGAAGCTTGCGCTTCAGGGCAAGGCCTAGGCGTGCGGCTCTCTTTGCAGAGCGCACTGGGCCTGCAACGGAGGAGAAGGAGGAAGAGGAGGAGGAGGAGGAGGAGTGGGAGAAATAGGAGGAGCAACAGCAGCAACTAACCCAGGAGGCAGCAGAGCTCCAGTGCGCCCTTTCCTTTTTTTGGGGGCCGCAGCCGTAATAGTGACTCGAACGAGGAGGAGAATGAGGAGAAGGAGGAGGAGCAGGATGATGAGGAGGATGAGGAGGATGAGGATGAGGAGGAGGAGGCGGAGCAGAAGGAGGAGGAGGGGTGGGAGGAGGGAGGGGTCAGGAAGCGAGCGAGGAGTAAGGAGCCACGAATACAGAGTCACAAGGTCTGCGGTGCCCCGCACGTTCGCCCGTGACCAGGGTAGGAATGCCCACGGTCCAGACGGTCCTCTTCATCGTCCTTGTGCCCTCCTTTTTCACCTTCCCCTGCCATTCCATACCCTCGTATCCCTGCCCATGTTCCTCCCCCTGCTCTTCTTTCCTCATTTCCCTCAGCATGTTTACTCCAACTCCACGCGGTCCTTCCACTAAACACCACACGGCTCCTCCCATCATTACTCTACCTCTTCCTAACACGCGTCATCCCCCTTCTTATCGAAGGCCGAGTTTCCAAGATCGAGGGTCCAGGATCCAGAACAACAAAAGAGGATGAACAATGGAGGGTCCAGGATCCAGAACAACAAAGTAGGATGGGCATGAACGGAGACAGGACGAGGATATTCACGGCTGTGGCCCTGGTCTGAGCCAAGTGGGCCACGGAGGGTCTTTGCCAGCCAAGCCTCTCCTCGGACCTGCATCCCGTGGCCTCTCGAGAGAGGCTCCTAGGGCCGATCGGCTCGTAGGGGCCCCCGACGCGCAGCCCCCGACGCGGGGATAGGGCTGGGCACAGCCCCCGACGCATTGTTTAAGAGGACGGCGTGCTCGGTACAGCCCCGTCCTCGTTTTTCGTTGCCCTTCTTCTCTGATATTCCAGCTCCGTTCCGTCTCCTTCGGCGTCCTTCCCTCCTCCTCCTCCTCCTCCTCCCCGTGCTCCTCCTGATGATTTTCCTCCTTGCTCATCCTCGTGTTCCTTCTTGTGTACCTGCCGCGCCCTGCCGTGCACGTTGAGTCCTCGTCCTCTAAGCGTTCCTACTTATCACCTTCTCGGTTCATCCTCCTCGTCATGATTCGTCTCCTCGTATCGCTGCTATACAATCCTCCTCCTATGCTCCACTTCGTACTGCTCCTCGCAAGTACTGCGACGCCTGGGGCGTCATCTAGTAATGAATGCCCGATCCCCCAAAGGTTCCCCAAGAGGTGAAAACGTAGGAGTTTCAGAGACAACGAAAAAACGCTGCCCTGGGATGGTTCAGGGGACTTCTGGGCGACCCCATCTGTGGCCTCCTGTAGAGGGACGTGCAAGTCGCAATCCTAGCGACCCGGCGACCCGGCGATCCAGCGATCTGGCGATACGGGGAGGGTTAGCATTCGAAGCGGGGCCTGTCTGCAACAGAGTGATCACCCCCCACCGTGTCCTCGTGAGAGCCGATCAGGAAACGCAGAATGCCCGCGGTGGTGTCGGGCTTCTGCGCCTGGTCGTACATTTTTTCGACGTACATCGTGAACGTTCCGCACAAATGCGGGAAAACGATTCTGGGCATTCCCAGGATGGTTCTTGTACGTGTCATGATAGTGAATTTGGTTGAGGTCGTCGATGCCGCCGCCTGGGCCGTTGTCGAAGGTCTGGGGTGGCCATGTTTTCCCTTCGTGTAGCACAAGAAATGCGGTCTCCCCCTGCGCCTGCATGAAGTTCCCGAGGCCGATGAACGTCCCTTTGTTGAAGATGGTGTCTTTAGCATGTTTTTGTTTCACCGGCTGTGGATTGTTATCTGGGTCCTCCTTGTGTTTCTGCTCGGCCTCTTCGTATGTTTCCTTGGCTCGCCTTTCCCGTATCATGTCGAAGAAGGCCAGCACTTGCACGTCCAACCACAGCGCAACAGACTTTCCATCCCCAGGTGGGCCATGCTGGATCATGAGCAGATTGCATTGTCGGGATAAGATTCCACCGTACTTGAGCTGAACTGCCCCGAGAGTTGCGGCCACCAGAATCGCGAGGTGGACGTGCACGCACGACGCGCGCAGAGAGGTCGCCTTGCCCAGTGCCGAGGCACCAGCCCACATGAGCGGCGTTGCCCGCCGCGTTGCCTGCTCGGGGAATGGGTTTTGGTTCTCCATGATCCGGTATATAGTCCGAATCTTCCCTTTCGTCAATGCGGGGGCTTGTAACAAGCGGGCCTTCGGAGTCGCTGCAACGTAGACCCCGCTGAAGGCCAAGCCGAACATCACACTGAGCGCGAGCCGGTGCATGGTAGCTGTTGTCGTTCACGCTGAAATGTCTTGGGCGCGCGGCGCCGTGCAGCGCCCCCTGGGAGTTCCGCGACAGTTTGATACTGCTGCTGCTGTTGGGATCTTCGGCGATGGCGGCGATGCGCGTGCTTTTGTTTGCATTGCTAGTGGCGTCGACGCCGAGGCGGGCAGTGCTAGTTGCTTCTGTTTGCGTTGCTAGTGGTGTAAGATCAGCGGAGTAAGCTATGCGGTATAGTCGATATTGCGTAGGCAAGGCGGCTAAGTATTGTGCGCTATGTGCGTGGCGTGAGCTATGCGATGCAAGCCATGTGGTGCAAGCTATGCGATGCAGGCTGCGCGGTGTCAGCTATGCGTGCGATAACAGCGATGCTCATTCTGATGCTTTTTGTTGCTCTCGACGCACCTGCAACTCTACAGTTCCAGTCCGGAGCGCCACGCGCTCCAAAAGGGTCGAAGGTAAAACCAGCTGGCATGCACAAAGTCCACGCCCACGCCGTGTCAGTGCGGGCCTAGGCGCCTACTTGCTAGCTGTCCCCGCATCTTGAGGTGCTCCACTCGTCTGGCGTTGCATGGGCCCCGCCTCGCCACGTCTGCGCTCGCGTGCCGCTTCCCGCTCGAGCCATTGGTTGTGGGCGTCAAAAAGGGACCGCCAATGCATTCAGAAGTGCCCCCGCGTCATCTCCGGGCCATTCCGTGTCCTGCCGCTGATCCAAGAGTTCAATTGCCCACGTGCCTCCGTGTTTTTCTTCTCCAACAGCTTGGCATTATCTGGCCTCAGGGGGTCCACTCCTGGCATGTTGTTCAAACACCAAGCGCGGTTGTCCCGGTGGAACCTGCCCAACACCATCCGCACTTCCTCCGCGAAAGATTTCGCCCATGGTAGATAGCATGTTTCTTTCGCCCGGGCAAATGGCAGAAGCTTGCGCGCCCTGTCGCATCCCAGGGCCGCGTTGACGAAGCCCAGCTCGCGGCCATCCTGCCCGGTCGACGCCGGCGCCAGCGCGCCCTGCTCAGCCCGCGCCCCGCCCACTCGAGAAAAGAGATGCATTCATGCATGTATGTTTTCATTCCTCCATCTCTCTTCCCTTTCCCCCCCCTCGCCCATCTCCCCCCCGCCCCCCCCCCCTCCTTTCCTTCCTCTCCCTCCCATCCATTTCCGCCTCTCCATCCCCCTGGTGCGCCCTTTCGCGATCCCTCGACCCTTCGATCCCTCCCTCCACGCTGGCCGAATTGGGGGGGCCCGTGACATGAGCAGAACCTCGGGCGTCGCCATCCGCCCTTGTGAAGCCGCAGCGCGAACGCATACAGCAGCTCGATGGACTCGCCCCGGAAGAGCTCCGCCCAGTCCACCAGCATGCCGCACGATGTCACTGCTGTCACGATGCCTCCAGCGCAGCGTCTGACTTCGTTGCCTCCGTGGAGTTCGTCGACGCCGCGCGCCTGGATAGCTTCCTCCTGCTTGCTGTCCAGAGCAAGCCATCCCTTGCAGCGGCTCCTCAATGAGTGGGCGCTGCTTGCGCTGCTGCCCATGTCGGCCGCCGCCGGCCGCTTCTTCGACCTGGCTGGAGCTGGCCGCTTCGGTGCCGTGGCCACAGCCCCGCCAGCACTCCCTCTTCCTGATCGGCGCGAAATGCCCGCGGCCTCGCCCCTGCGGCCTCTGCCCGCCTGGGCCGCCTTCCGGGCTGGCGCCCGAGAAGCAGGGCCGCGCCGAACTTTCTTTGCCCCACCCTGAGCGCTTGCGCCATTGCTCGCAGCGACCAATCTGGGCGGCCCACAAGCCGGCGTCTGTTTCCTCAGCCAGCGCGCAAGTTGCCGGCTTCCTTTGATCCACGCCGGGCGCGACTTCATGTCGCCGCGACCGCCCCAGCTCCGAAGCAACGACTTCTCGAACTTCGCCAGCAAGTCCTTGTCCACCTCGGCTCCCGGCAAGTGCGCGTCGAAGGGGCGCCCCGGCAAATCGGGGTCGTAGCAGCTCATCGCGCACCGCGGCGCGGAGACGCCGTCAGCGGCCGGTCCGGGAGGAGCGACGCCCAAGATCTCCTCCTGGGGTATCAAGTGCGCTTGTTCTATCTTTGACGGGCGGCAGAACTTGCAAAATCATTGTCTCGTGGGGGGCATTCCGCTGGCAGCCAACGTACAACTCCAAGTCCAGGCCCTCCATGGGCCCATAGTCTTCCAAGCCGCCGCAGATGAATCGGCGGGCGCCGCGCTTGCCATCTAGCAACGCCACGAGCTTGTCAACGCATTTCGGACACGTCCGCACGTGCTCCGCGATGCGCGCCAGGTGCGCCCTTCGCACGCATGCCACAATATTCGCAAGGGCGCGCTCTATGCCGCTCTCCGAGAAAGACCACTCACAACTCCCAACGTTGGCTCCTGCCAAACGAATTGCGTTGTGCATGTACCAGGCGTCCTCCAGACGCACACGCGCGTGGTCTGTCTTTGTCATGAAGTCGCCCAGGATGAGGTGTTGCTGCTCACGCCCTGGGTGCCGCTTGGCCCGCGCGTGGATGGCAGATGCGAACGTGCCGCCGCTGCGTTGCAAGTCAGCAGGTCCGAACCGCAACAGCTGCAGGTCCACCACGTGCCGCGCTTTCTCCCGGGCCACCGCAAAGCATGGCAAGGCCGCCTGCGTG